CAGTCAGTGAGTGTGTCAGTCAGTCAGTGAGTGTGTCAGTCAGTCAGTGAGTGTGTCAGTCAGTGAGTGTGTCAGTCAGTGAGTGTGTCAGTCAGTGAGTGTGTCAGTCAGTCAGTGTGGGCTTAACACACATCTTCAACTGCTCTCTCTCTTCTGGCACTGTCCCTGCTGACCTTAAACTTGCCACTGTAGTACCTATCTTGAAAAGAAAAAACCATGTCTCGACCCATCCTCCCCTTCTAACTATCGTCCCATATCCCTGTTCCCTTTTTCCTCAAAACTTCTGGAAAGACTGGTCTTTACCCATCTGACTTGTTTCCTCAATTCCAACTCTCTCCTTGACCCTCTTCAATCTGGCTTCCGCCCTCTCCACTCTACTGAGACTGCCATTATTAAAGTCACTAATGATCTAATCGCAGCTAAATCCAAAAGGCACTACTCCATACTAATTCTTCTTGAGCTCTCTGCTGCCTTTGACACCGTTGATCATGTTCTTCTTCTCCAATCAACGTTGTATTCCTAGTACTATAGTATCCCTTTAAGTAGGAGGTGGGCTGCCACTGTTATAATAAGCTGATACTTTGAAACAGCACTGAATATCTTTGTAGGCAGTGGGAGGAGCAGGGAACATTGCTACGTCTGAGTTTCCATTTCCCATTGACTAGGTGGCAAGGGAAAATTGAGTCCTATGTATATATGTCTCTGTGTCAAATGTTATAACCGTACAGAAGCTAACATTTGTATTATATTCTCCTTCCCTGTATCGAAATAGAGGACACTTTTCTGCTCCAATCTTGTCCATCGAGGCTATGCCTCAAACACTTCAGGTGAATATGGAAAGGATGAAATGGAAATCCAGTTGCCTGCGTGGGAGGAGCGTCACAACGAGACAGCAGAGGTTAAGAGAGCTAGACTCGTGTACGAAAGTCGCAAAAGAGGCATGCTAGAAAACTGTATACTTCTCAGGTACATGGACCTTGTATGTTAAAAAAAGACCATCTTCACTCTCCCTCAGCATGACAATCCAGTTACTCATCCATGAAAAAATGAAAAGTAAACCGTACCTCTTTTCTAGTGCCTAGACTACGTTCTCCCTGCAGCTCCATCCTCCATGGCTGACATCATTCTGCCTCAGTGGAGGGGTTAGAAGGTCGGGGAGTGGAGGACATGGGCAGCAAAGGGGTGTGCTCTCATTGGCAGTCTGGCATCAGCATGCTTGTGTGAGACACCAATTTTGTACCAGATTGACATTAGCCACCCAGATCTCTTGTTCCAGCCTGGCTAATGACGCTCCAATGATGCGGCTGGATATACATTTCCAGTAGCAGAGAGGTTGAACTCTGTACGTGCAGCATTACATTTCGAAACACAGACTTTAGGCACCAGCACCACTTTAAATCAGTGAAGTGTATATGGCGCTTGGAGTAGCCATTTAAGTACTCATTTGCAGAACACAGATTTTTTTTATAAAGTATCTTTAACTATTAGAAAAGGTTTGACACTTTTTCACACTTATTTTATTTTCCGATATTCTCTGAGGAATTTGTGCCTGCATCCTCTTTTTCCAGGTGCTTTTGTAAAAAGAGCTTGGAGTCTGTCGTGCGTAGTAGCTTTTAGCTTGTTTGCTGTTCCCATGTTTAATCTGGCTGCTTAGAAGCCCTGCCTGTGACATTAACTTCACGGTGCTGGAAGCAGATCAGATAGCGTGCTGCTCAGTTTATTGTATTTGGGAGGTGAGAAATGTGTAAATGAGTTGATGTTAAAGGAGCACTACACTTCCCACATGGGTAAAAAAATAAATCACTGTTTAGTAGATATGCCCTCAATGAATACATGCATGTAGTTCTTGTGATCTGCAGCCTTAACAAACCCTCCCCTTTTTTCAAGGAAGAGACTTTCAGTCTCTTCACAGTAAACTAACCAATCAGAGTCTTCTCATTGAGAAGCCTCTGAATTGGTGCACACAGCTTATGTGCACGTGTCTGCTCGTATATATACGTGTGCGCGCACGCACATCTGTTTTAAGCTCTAGAGCTGGTGAGTGGGGAAGCAGGCACGCTCAAGTAGATTGACAGCCAGGGGGGTGTTCCCTAGCAAATTGATATAAATGCTGATTTCTCATAGAAATCAGCTCTTTTATAAACTTGTGTTACTCCTCACCCATAAAGGTGGATTGGTGAGGTGTGGATTGGTCCTTTAATAAATGCTATACTACTACAATATATATATATATATATATATATATACACGCACACCTTGTATGCATAGGCTCTTCGTTTAAAAACAAGCCCCACTTTCTGTGCATAGCTCAGTAAAGTAGAATGTCAGAAGCTGATATATTATCCCCTCACTCTGTATTTATTTGTACTCACTAGACAGTGTGGCAGTTGACACACAGAGGTGCTCTTCCTTACCAGACCACCAGCAGAGAAATCCAACCCTTATAAAAACCCTGTGTACACAATCTGTTTATTGAAGCATGTCATGTGACTATTTCATGTTTGTAATATGCCTTGTTCATTTGTACATATGAATATTCAAAATGTATTGGTATTATCACCTTTTTTTCTCCTAAGCTGTCCTATTCTTTCATTTTATATTTATAGTCTGTTTGCTAAGAAATATCTGGCCACAATGACAGAGAGCCAGTTGTCACAGTATGACCGCTTGATCAATCAGCCTTCCAATGATTGGGACATATATTACTGGGCCACAGGTATGCTCGAGTAACTTACTCATTAAACAACAATTACTTCCATTCACTAACAAGGAAACGTGTTTCCGTCTATTCTTTAGCACTGTATTATAGTATAGTAATAGTATTGCTGATTCCACTGTGTTTTATCATAAGTCACAATGATCACATTTAAATGTATTACAGGGGCTCAGGACCCACCTGAACTGTTCAATAATGAAGTGATGAAATTGCTCAAAGAATTTGCCAAGAACAGAGGGATGGAACAGCGTCTACGACAGCCTGACTTGGAATATCTGTTCAGTGAGACAAAGTGACCCAGTCCAATAGTTAAATGGGACATTTAATTTATGGAATCAAGAATCCTGAAACATAGTGGCAATATTTTACAGAACCAATACATATACTTAAATTGAACATCATAGCTTACGTACCTTGACAGAATTGTGGAGCTCTTGTCCAGAGATATTATTTTTTGTCCCTGTTTATTAAAGAGAGAGTTTAAAAGAGGGGAAGAATATAAAACAATTACTTTTGTGCAATACACAAAGATTTTGTCAAAAACACATTTTAAGCAACTGAGAGGATGGATATGGATAATGTACATATGGAGTGTTATTAATCCAGTTTATGGTTCTTTAACAGTCTAATTGTTTTGAGACCCACAATAAAAATGAAAGACTTAAAAAAAAAAAAAAAAAAAGGTCTGTGTGTAGTTCTGTGTGGCTCAAATCAGATTCTACACTAGAGGGGGGCATGGCTTGGACGCCGGACAAAATGGCGGCGTGAACCACGAGCTCCCGACCGGCTCCGCTCACAAACCCGCCTAACCAGCTCCACTACCGCAATAATGGGCAAAACTAACAAGCCCCAACAGGCTGCACCGGTCGCCAACACACCGAGAGGGTCACAATCAGCCGGCATGCGCCAGTACCTCACAACCCAGGCCGACCAAGCTTCCCAGGCCTCCGGTGACACTGCATCCCTGGGCCCAGGCCGCCCGACCTCACCCAGAGACGGACACCACGACCAGGTACAAAATCCTCCTGACAACCCCTTACCCCAGCTGGACTGGGTAACGCTGATAAATAACCTACCCACAAAAAATGACCTGAAGGAGGCTAATGCCGCCCTCCATAAATCTATCACTGGGGAGCTCCAGGCCCTGAGGGAAGACATGCAAGGGATTCACCACAAACTGACCCAGGTGGAGGCAGATTGCGACCACGTAATGTCGGCGCAGAATGCCACCACGAGTACCATAAAGCGGCAAGAAACACAATTGCGTCAAATGGCCCTCCATTTAGAGGACCTAGACAACCGAGGGAGACGTCAAAACATCAGAGTCCGGGGGCTACCAGAAGAATGTGACCAGACTACCCCAATACGGAACACGCTCACGGAAATTTTTAATGCCCTCCTGCAAAGGCCGAACACAGCGCCCATCGAATTTGTAAGGGCGCACAGAGCCCTCAGACCCAGGGGCCCACCTGACTCCCCTCCTAGAGACGTAATATGCTGTCTAACACACTTCCAAGTGAAGGAGGATATCCTGAAAAGTGACAGGGTTCAGAGCCAAATCATCCACAATGACGCTGAGATCCAACTGTATCCAGACCTATCCCCTGCAACGCTGGCGTACCGACGAGTCCTGCGCCCACTCACGCGGACATTGCAGACTAATAAGATCAGATACAGGTGGAATTTCCCCACCGGACTACAAGTCACCACAAGTAATGGCCCCTTCACAGTGAAGAGCGAGGGAGACCTGATGGACCTAACGAGAGAACTACAACTCCCAACGATACATATGACTTGGCCAGATCCAACGGCCTTCTACGTCTTCTCACTGGAGGTACAACGCCAGCCGCAACAAACCCCCAGACCCAGAAGAACGAGACAACAGACGACGCGCCCTACGGGCACCAACATGTAGAAGGCCGCGCACTACCTGTCCACCCTCCCAGGAACCCACATGGCCCGGCAATGAACTGGATAGACACTGTTCGTCCCTGACCAGAACCCCTAGAACTAACAGCGCCGAAACTCTCAAAACTGCAAGTATATAGCCCAAGGGGCAACACACTCAATAAGACCCTACACGGACATACAGGTTAAGAGACATAAAGTGATACACCGAACCTTGAGACCCAAGCGGCAAGATCGGCGCAGATGCTTGACCATGCAGAACCCTCAGGCCTGCCGGGCTACCCATGGACTAAACGCACTCACACTAGAGGTGGGGGGGGAGTATCAGGGACCCAAACTCTTAGTACCAACACTACAGTAAGAGGGATCGGGAGTGGGGCGCTCGCCCCCCCCGGCCGCAGCCTAGCCGCGCTGTAATGAACCTCGGGGAGCAGGCGGGGGGCTCCGCCGGCGGGGCACACCCGGGGTGGGGGTGCCGACCCCGCACCCGGGATAAATGGGAAGCGACAAAACCAAGATGACCAAACTATAACCACCCGCCGAATAGTCACACACCTCTAGAACAGGGGGAGGAAGCACAACACACCAAGGAACCCTACGACGGGCGCACCCCATAAGGCCACAGAGACAGGGGGACAAAGAATACACCAGCTAGACCCACGCCTACGGGAACAACCTTCTATCTCTCACCCCCGACAGGGACACCCACACTTCACGATAAAAATAGTGAACAGGACGCAAAGACACAAGGGACACAAGAACACACCAGATAGGCGGGCGGGTGGGAACCTGGGACGCAGGGGGGCAGAGGTAAACGGTGCACGAAATTGAAACAAGAAATGTTAGAATTTTGTTATGTTTTCACCTGTTGTGACTTGAAACCGAAATGTTAATAACACTGTTAATGTCTCGCAACCCAACCACAAACAAACAGACCACGTGCATAAACAATCATCCACGCAAGCCCCAGAACCACCACACCCCGAGGCGGGGAATAACACGCGTACTCCTATGGAGTAATCACTAAGGAGCCACATAGGGAAACCACGAGACGAGACACACCACTAGGACACTGCGCCAGGCGCCTGGACGCCCAACCACTGCCCAGCAGGCGAGGCGTCACCCGAAAGGTGAGCATCACACGGACACCACAGGCTACCTAGTCGTCACGCACTGTGACGCAAACCACGGAGATCTCTGGGTACCTCCCAGACTACTCCAATACCTCAACCCCTTAATCCTTACCTAAACCCCAACACTTGACTCCCCAACCCGACACCGACAGCTGACTGTGAGACCTCCTGAGACTACACACACCAAAGGAACATAAGACAAAGACATTTTCACAACACCCGTCGACAACAACCTGACTTGACGGGATGACACTGACCCCAGACCACTTACACATCCTTACAATCAATGCAAAAGGCCTAAATAAACCAGAGAAGAGATCAGGAGCATTGAGAGACTTCCACAAACAGAGGGCCTCTATAGTAATGATACAGGAAACCCACTTCAAAAAAGGGACCAGACCCAAATTGACTAATCAGCACTACACACAAGGATACTACAGTGACTTCCAAGGGGGTAAGGCTAGGGGGACAGCAATACTTCTCCACAAGAGGGTGCCGTTCCAGGAGGGGGGATACAAAACAGACGACGAAGGAAGATACTTATTCCTTAAAGGGAAGATCGCAGGACCCCAGTACACATTCGCAAACATTTACGCCCCAAACACACAACACTACCGCTTCCTCAAACAGACACTTCGCAAACTCCAAGAATTCGCAGAAGGGACTCTCATACTGGGGGGCGACTTCAACATAACTCTCGACCCATCATGGGACAACTCATCGGGCACCTCCCACATCCCCACACAACAACTCCAAACAATTAAATCCCTACTTCGGAGTCGACGACTCGTGGACTACTGGAGAGCCCACCACCCAGACGTAAGAAACTATACCTTCTATTCCCACCCGCACAACTCTTATTCCCGAATAGACCACATTTACACCACACACTACGACCTCTCCCTAGTGTCCGAAGTAACAATCGGAGTGGCCACATGGTCAGACCACGCCCCAGTCTTACTTAAACTTAAATCACCACTTTACCGCCCCACGACCTCGAAATGGAGATTGAACGAATACCTACTCACCAAACTAGAGGTCACAACCCTAATAGGTGAAAAAATCAAGGACTACCTGACAACTAACACAGCAGAGCAAACATCCCCGACGATTCGATGGGAAGCACACAAAAGCGTGATAAGAGGCCACTACATACAACAGGGGGCAATACTGAAGAAACAGGCTGAAGCTCGGCTACAGGCACTGCTGACCAACATACATGAGACAGACAATCAAAATAAACAAACCCCGAACCACACACACCAAACCCGACTCCTACAACTGAGACGGGAACTAGCCACACTATTGCAGGCTAAACATCACAGGGACGCAACTAGGCACAAAGCCTTCTTCACAGTACACGGGAACAAAAGCGGAAAACTCCTAGCCGCGATGCTGAAAAAGCAGAGGCAACACACATACATTGATAAAATTAGAGACAAACAGAGCACCCTACACCGCCTCCCGACAGCCATCATGAGAACGTTCCGCACATACTACACTGATCTCTACACGCTCCCCCAACCGAAGACCAACGGGGCGACGACACGCCTCAGAGACTCTATCCGAGCCTACTTGACAAAATACCAGACACCGACACTCGACGCGGAGATAGCGGAGGTAATAGACGAACCCATCACAATAGAGGAACTAGCTCTAGCGGTTAAACAAACCAAACCGGGCAAAAGCCCGGGACCAGACGGCTTACCGACTAAATATTATAAGACATACGCTGAAGACTTATACCCACTCATGATAGAAGCGTTCAATTCGATAAGAGACGGAAACCATTTCCCCAGACAAGCCCTAACAGCCCACATCACTATTATCCCCAAAGACGGCAAAGACAGGGAACAATGCGGAAACTACAGACCGATCTCACTTATAAATAGCGACATTAAACTATTGGCCAAAATTCTGGCGACTCGACTCACACAACACATCCCATCACTGATCCACCCAGACCAGGTGGGATTCGTGACAGGCCGAGAGGCTCTGGACAACACCATCAGGGCACTTACCCTCATGCATGGGAAAGAGGGTACGAAACGGGGCCTTCTCCTGCTGTCAACAGACGCAGAGAAGGCCTTCGATAGGGTCGGCTGGACATATCTTTTCGAAACACTTGCCCATGTAGGACTGGGGCCACACATGCGACGCTGGATAGAGGCATTGTACCGAGAACCTACGGCCCAGGTGCTGGTCAACGGGGCGTTAACTGACGCCTTCACAATACATAACGGCACGAGACAAGGTTGCCCCCTCTCCCCACTCCTGTTCGACCTTGCCCTGGAACCATTCCTTACACACATCCGACACAACACAGACATAACCGGACTGATAACACGCAACACAAGGTAGCTGCATACGCAGACGACCTACTCTTTATGGTAACGAACCCTGAAATCTCCCTCCCATACATACAGAGGGATCTACAGCTATATGGGAAAATCTCCAATTTGAAAATTAACTACGGCAAATCCTTCATCCTTAACGTAAGCGTACTGAACGGGCGAACCCCCTCCGACAAAGCTTCCCCTTCCAATGGGCCGAACATAAAATTAGATATTTGTGAGTCTGGCTGACCAACCGAAGTGAGGACATGTTCAAGGAAAATTTCACAGATACACTCCAGACGTTCCAAAAAGACATGCGAGAATGGTCGTACCCCCACATCTCATGGTTAGGGAGAGTTCAGGTAATAAAAATGAACTTCCTTCCACGCCTCCTATACCTCCTCCAAGCTATCCCCATCGAGATCCCGGGCCCTTTTGTTAGTACCCTTAGAACAGAAATGACCAGATACGTATGGAACGGAAGGAGACCTAGAGTGAAATTCTCCACCCTGACACGACCTAAGGATAAAGGAGGATTAGCCCTCCCAGACTTCCACCTATATTATGTGGCCACACACCTCCAGAGAATTGTGGAGTGGTCAAAAGACAGCGTGCACAAACTCTGGAAGACGGTGGAAGAGACGGAGGCAGGCAGAACACTCTCGGGACTACCCTGGGGCCGAGAAACGGCAAAATGGGGCGAAATGTCCATCTACACAAAACACACCATGAAAGTATGGAGGAGGACAACGAGGAAGGGGACCATGTCACCATACCCCTCCCCCCTCCTACTGACGCACAACGTCGACTTTCCCCCGGGACTAGACCCAAGAGCCTTTAAAGACATCCTCCCAGACCCACACCCACGCCTACACCATGTCCTGCAGGGAGGGAAATGTAAAAAACTGACAGACATGACGACAGAGACGCACCCAACCTTCATGCAGCACTTCAGATATACCCAGCTAACCAACTTTGTCCATACCTTACCACAGGGCTCAGCGCTCACTAGACAACATACCACACTGGAAGTGGTCTGTATGCACCCAGACCCGCTCCCACATGGAGTATCTTTCCTTTACACCATGCTACAAACGGACATCCCGACCGAGACACCCCTATTTATGAGGAAATGGGAGGAAGCCCTCGGATACACGCTGACAAATAAGGAATGGGAGTCCATATGTTACCTCGCACACCACTGCTCCACGCACAGCAAAACACAAGAGACAGCCTACAAACTACTGACACAATGGTACAGGACACCTCACTTCCTTCACCAGATAGACCCAGATCAACCCGGCCTATGCTGGAGATGCCAACAAGAGGAGGGTAGTATAACACATATGGTGGGAATGCGCAAAGATCAAACCATACTGGCAAAACATCCACAAAATGCTAGAGAAATTTACGGACAAACCACCCCCCCTAGAACTGGCAGCAATGCTCCTGCACCACACCTCTACTCCTCATTCCAAATACAAAAAATCTATGACCATTCGAATACTCAATGTAGCCAAACGAGTGCTCCCCCAATTCTGGAAACAGGCCATAACACCTCCACTTAAGACCTGGTTTAGCCAAATGGAGGAACTGAGGACAATAGAGGAACTGACCCTGATGACTAACACTACCCCGACAACCTACATGGACATATGGACACATTGGATCCTAGAGACGGCGAAGGAAGGATTCCAAAGGGAACTAGATCTGGCAAATGCCACACCACAGACAGGAAGGACTTAGGGATCACACACTTGACGACAGACGACTGACTACCCTAACACCCCTCCCCACCCCAACCCTAACTTTCCCCCCCCCCTCCAGAGGAGCGCCAAGGGACAATAACCCCAATCCGAATAGACACACACGCCAATAAGAGGACACATAGAGACTTGAACGTAAAACTCACAAGGACTCAGGTCATTATCCCGACCGGCAAGTTGGACGAGAGGCCGGCGAGCCTCTGTATAGCCCACACACAAACTACAATTGCAGTAAATGTAATGTATAACATATAAACACATGACCCGCACACTAGGCCAAGCCGTAATAGGAACTGTAATTGAGAAATGCTCGTAAAATAAGATAAAAGGGACTTGCAAGTGCGTCAACATTGTGGGCCTGCGAGCCCGACTAAAAATTACTGTTTTCATATCTTTCATATGCTTTCTTACCTTTTGATAACTCACCTTGGAGACCTGCGAGTCTTTGAATCTTGACCAACCAATACAAATAAAAATTATATTCACAAAAAAAAAGATTCTACACTAGAGCTTTATGTCCAAACTATCAGGGTTAGTTGCTAAAATGATAATTCAAAGTGGATTTCAAATTTAGGACCACAGTAGCCAAAATGAAAGCATAGCTGACTTAGCTGAGAAGTTTTCCAATTTTGCTATTTTGACCTTAAAGGGAAACTCAGGGCCAATACAATAAATGCCATATATTTTAGCCTTGTTAATATGCTGTATTTTTTTATTTATTTTTTCGCATGCTCATCTTTATAGTTTTTGCACAAAATGTTTTGCATAATACTGCACCATTAGCTTTCCTCCTTAGCCATGTCAGAAAGACTATGGTATGCACAATGTCTCAGCCCCAATTCTTTATTATTGCGTGCGGAATTAAACAGATATATAGGCATTGACATTTAAACAAGTGTACATGCGATAATACAAAGTTATGATTGTGTTGGAAAATGTCAATGGGACAGACCATTTTTACGTTATAAGGTACATGACGTCTTGTAAATGACAAGACATGAGTCAAGATAGGAATCAAGAAGTGTTGACTAAACATGAACTGACCTCCTGTTAGAAAATACCTGCTGTTAAGACACCCCTGGTGCCCTTAAGAGAAACCGCCGTTTAGTTAACCTTCCCCTTTCGCAATATCAGTAACTCCGTTCGCATATGCTACAGTATACGAACCAGCATCAGGGGAAGCGGTAATCTCCCGACCGGGATCCGTGAAAGGCTCCAAACTCCCGAACAGAAATCCACGAACCGCCGCTAACCGCCGAACAACGATATCCACCAAGCGGCTTTCGGTTCCAATAATCAGTCTCTAGGCATAAATAATAAATCCCCCCAATAACGAGACAGAAGCTCCGCATTGAGGATCTGGCTTTACTGTGGGCTACCTGCCCGTATTTATGCAGGTCTCCCACTTGGTGGACACTCCCCTAGGGGACCAAATGGGAGACTGTAATGACAGATAGACTTGGGGACATTTCAGACATACAGATGTAAACTTTTCCCACAATGCAGTATGGTTTCCTCCCCTCTGCCCTGGAGATAATTGAGAAGTAATTCAATTATCTCCAGGACAAAGACAAATCGCCATCTTAAATAAAATGCCAGAAATACATAAAAATATATAACTTCACAACTACCGAACATTTCACATTCGTATCACACATCCCCAGATAGCCTGGATCTGAGGGCATATTATTAGCGAATAGCGCTCAGATCCCACACACATAGTTCAATCGCCATGGAGTCAAAGTCCTTACAGTCTTTCGGTATGCGATTGACTCCATGGGATGGCTATCTGGGTAAAGTCTTTTTGTGTGATGTAAAACTCCCGAACGGCTGGTGTTCATATGCTTTCGTCGGGGCAGCCAGGCGACCCGTTGATTCAGCGGTGTTCGTCAGAAAAAGTGTCCATTTTAGTTCCATGAAATCAGTGCTGAACACCGCTGGTCTTTCGTGTGTTTTAAAATGGCCGCTGCCTCGTGGTCGTCATACGAACGACGGCCACCCGGATTTCGGTTTAATTGAGACGTGTCTGCGGTTAACCACAACGTTCTAATTGGGATCAAGATGCTAACCAGCAGCACACTTCTATCCTGGGTGGCCATCCGTTCGGCAGATTTGTTCGGTAAAAAAGAGTCATTCGTATGGCTGGGCTATAGAAACAGCCATTTACACGAATGGGCAGAAATAGACGAATCCACCACAACAGACAGACAGATGGTTCTGTCACACGGCTCCCTCCTTGTGGGACACTCCGGCAGACCCGGCTTGACCCTTTGGCGGGTCAACTTGGGGATGACCGGACTAGGAGGTGGTGGAGATGTCAGTTTGTCGGGATAACCCATCTGCATTTCCGTTCTGCTTACCGGGTCGGTAGCTGATGGTGAAATTGTAGGGCTGTAGTGCCAAGCTCCACCTCAGCAGTCTACCATTGTCCCCTAAGACCCGGTTAAGCCAGACGAGTGGGTTATGGTCAGTCACAAGGGAAAACTCTTGCCTGTATCAGTAGGGACTTAACTTCTTCAATGCCCAGACCAAGGCCAAACACTCCTTCTCCACTGCCGCCTAACTCACTTCTCTGGGTAACAACTTTCGGCTGAGATATGCGACAGGGTGCTCTCCTCCATCTTTCCCGACTTGGCTCAGCACAGCCCCCAGTCCATACATGGAAGCATCTGTGTGAACGAGAAAGCGTTTGTTAGGGACTGGGGCAGCCAAGACAGGGGCATTCACAAGAGCCTGTTTCAGTGCCTGGAACTCAGCTTCACAAGCCAAAGACCACAGAACCTGCTTAGGCAAGTTCTTCTTCGTAAGGTCTGTCAGGGGCTTAGCAATAGTGCTATAGGCAGGGACAAAACGAATTCCTTCTTGGACTGCTTCAGGGATACGATATGGCGGCTGTCGTAAGGGGGTCTGTCCAGGGGTCTCGACCTTATGTACAGCTAGGGTAGTATAACCGGGCTCCTGGGAGAACGTCGCCTGCTTCTCCCATAACAACTGCTTCGCCTGTACCCTTTCTGTGGGGTTTAATCTGTCCCCTAGCTGTACAAGGGTAGTGAGGTCAGTCTGGGGGTCCCTTTCTAACAAATCGGGGAGAGGTAATTTCTCAGGATCATCTGCAGCCGGGGCACATACTGCCGCAATATTCTCATGTCTCTCCTGGTACTCCTTCAGCATGTTCACATGAAAGGATCTCTGAACCCTTTCATCTGTACGGCTGGCTATCAAGTAAGTAGTATCGCAGATCTGCGCTACTACCCGGTACGGCCCTGCCAAGATGCTTGCATCTTGTTTGCCTTCACAGGTTTGAGCACTAATACCTTCTGCCCAACCTGGAAGACCCACTGTCGTGCACCCTGATCGTACCATCTCTACTGTCTCCCCTGGGCCGCCTGGAGATTCTCCCTTACCATCAGGGACAGTTTCTCCATGCGTTCCCGGAGTTCCAGGACATATGGCACTATGGGGGTCCCCTCCTGCTCTGTCTCCCCCTCCCAGTGGCCCCAGATGAGATCTAGGGGTCCGCGGACCATACAGCAACTCAAAGGGGGAGAACCCAGTAGATTCCTGGGGCACCTCTCTGAAAAAAACAACAGATGAGGCAGGAACCTCTCCCAGTCTCTGCAAGTATCTGTAAAGGTCCTCAGAATCTGCTTGAGGGTACCGTTAAAGCGCTCGCAAAGACCGTTAGTCTGTGGATGGTAGGGTGAGCTACGCAACGCTTTAATGCCACACACCTTCCACAGCTGCTGAGTGAGCGCAGCGGTGAATTGGGTTCCCTGGTCGGAGAGGATCTCCTTAGGGAACCCGACCCTAGTAAAAATTCTAACCAGGGCATCAGCAACCGTCTCTGCCTCTATATTAGACAGCGTTACTGCCTCTGGATAGCGAGTGGCATAGTCCACCACAGTAAGAATATTTCTTACCGGAGGGACTAGCCCTGGCCAGTGGACCCACAATGTCAACAGCTATGCGGGAAAAGGGCTCCCCTTTAATAGGCATCGATAATAACCTAGCCTTAGGGTGGTCCCCCCGCTTTCCTACCCGTTGACATGTGTCGCACGTACTGCAATACATCCGCACAGCCTGGTTAAAGTTGGGCCAAAAGAAATTCTGTGAGATCCTATAGGCTATGCGGCGGGACCCTAGATGTCCAGCTAACGGAACATCATGCCCTATCGGCAGAATCTCCTGCCGGTACTTTGCAGGTACCACTAGCTGTCGATTCGGCGGAGGGGCTACACTCTTCTGGGAAGGCTTTGGGATACTATATAACCTGTCCCCCACCCACTCATACCGCTCCCCATCTATTCCTTCCTCTCCAGCCTCTGCTCTATCTCGGTACTTCTGGATGGTCGGATCCGCCCGGGTTTCCCTCCCAAACTCTGGGGAATCCCAGCTTAAGGGGGCCTGATCTAGGGTACCAGTCGGGGAAGAGGGTCTTACCTGGGTCTCATCAGCAGGTGGGCCGGTTCCAGAAGCACGGGTCTGAGCATGAGTCACAGGGTTGACGTCAGCGTACTCGCGTACTCCTATGGAGTAATCACTAAGGAGCCACATAGGGAAACCACGAGACGAGACACACCACAAGGACACTGCGCCAGGCGCCTGGACGCCCAACCACTGCCCAGCAGGCGAGGCGTCACCCGAAAGGTGAGCATCACACGGACACCACAGGTGGTGCCGTGCACTGACGCTCCCCGACGCTACTACCTAGTCGTCACGCACTGTGACCCAAACCACGGAGATCTCTGGGTACCTCCCAGACTACTCCAATACCTCAACCCCTTAATCCTTACCTAAACCCCAACACTTGACTCCCCAACCCGACACCGACAGCTGACTGTGAGACCTCCTGAGACTACACACACCAAAGGAACATAAGACAAAGACATTTTCACAACACCCGTCGACAACAACCTGACTTGACGGGATGACACTGACCCCAGACCACTTACACATCCTTACAATCAATGCAAAAGGCCTAAATAAACCAGAGAAGAGATCAGGAGCATTGAGAGACTTCCACAAACAGAGGGCCTCTATAGTAATGATACAGGAAACCCACTTCAAAAAAGGGACCAGACCCAAATTGACTAATCAGCACTACACACAAGGATACTACAGTGACTTCCAAGGGGGTAAGGCTAGGGGGACAGCAATACTTCTCCACAAGAGGGTGCCGTTCCAGGAGGGGGGATACAAAACAGACGACGAAGGAAGATACTTATTCCTTAAAGGGAAGATCGCAGGACACCAGTACACATTCGCAAACATTTACGCCCCAAACACACAACACTACCGCTTCCTCAAACAGACACTTCGCAAACTCCAAGAATTCGCAGAAGGGACTCTCATACTGGGGGGCGACTTCAACATAACTCTCGACCCATCATGGGACAACTCATCGGGCACCTCCCACATCCCCACACAACAACTCCAAACAATTAAATCCCTACTTCGGAGTCGACGACTCGTGGACTGCTGGAGAGCCCACCACCCAGACGTAAGAAACTATACCTTCTATTCCCACCCGCACAACTCTTATTCCCGAATAGACCACATTTACACCACACACTACGACCTCTCCCTAGTGTCCGAAGTAACAATCGGAGTGGCCACATGGTCAGACCACGCCCCAGTCTTACTTAAACTTAAATCACCACTTTACCGCCCCACGACCTCGAAATGGAGATTGAACGAATACCTACTCACCAAACTAGAGGTCACAACCCTAATAGGTGAAAAAATCAAGGACTACCTGACAACTAACACAGCAGAGCAAACATCCCCGACGATTCGATGGGAAGCACACAAAAGCGTGATAAGAGGCCACTACATACAACAGGGGGCAATACTGAAGAAACAGGCTGAAGCTCGGCTACAGGCACTGCTGACCAACATACATGAGACAGACAATCAAAATAAACAAACCCCGAACCACACACACCAAACCCGACTCCTACAACTGAGACGGGAACTAGCCACACTATTGCAGGCTAAACATCACAGGGACGCAACTAGGCACAAAGCCTTCTTCACAGTACACGGGAACAAAAGCGGCAAACTCCTAGCCGCGATGCTGAAAAAGCAGAGGCAACACACATACTTTGATAAAATTAGAGACAAACAGAGCACCCTACACCGCCTCCCGACAGCCATCATGAGAACGTTCCGCACATACTACACTGATCTCTACACGCTCCCCCAACCGAAGACCAACGGGGCGACGACACGCCTCAGAGACTCTATCCGAGCCTACTTGACAAAATACCAGACACCGACACTCGACGCGGAGATAGCAGAGGTAATAGACGAACCCATCACAATAGAGGAACTAGCTCTAGCGGTTAAACAAACCAAACCGGGCAAAAGCCCGGGACCAGACGGCTTACCGACTAAATATTATAAGACATACGCTGAAGACTTATACCCACTCATGATAGAAGCGTTCAATTCGATAAGAGACGGAAACCATTTCCCCAGACAAGCCCTAACAGCCCACATCACTATTATCCCCAAAGAAGGCAAAGACAGGGAACAATGCGGAAACTACAGACCGATCTCACTTATAAATAGCGACATTAAACTATTGGCCAAAATTCTGGCGACTCGACTCACACAACACATCCCATCACTGATCCACCCAGACCAGGTGGGATTCGTGACAGGCCGAGAGGCTCGGGACAACACCATCAGGGCACTTACCCTCATGCATGGGAAAGAGGGTACGAAAGGGGGCCTTCTCCTGCTGTCAACAGACGCAGAGAAGGCCTTCGATAGGGTCGGCTGGACATATCTTTTCGAAACACTTGCCCATGTAGGACTGGGGCCACACATGCGACGCTGGATAGAGGCATTGTACCGAGAACCTACGGCCCAGGTGCTGGTCAACGGGGCGTTAACTGACGCCTTCACAATACATAACGGCACGAGACAAGGTTGCCCTCTCTCCCCACTCCTGTTCGACCTTGCCCTGGAACCATTCCTTACACACATCCGACACAACACAGACATAACCGGACTGATAACACGCAACACAAGGTAGCTGCATACGCAGACGACCTCCTCTTTATGGTAACGAACCCTGAAATCTCCCTCCCATACTTACAGAGGGATCTACAGCTATATGGGAAAATCTCCAATTTGAAAATTAACTACGGCAAATCCTTCATCCTTAACGTAAGCGTACTGAACGGGCGAACCCCCTCCGACAAAGCTTCCCCTTCCAATGGGCCGAACATAAAATTAGATATTTGTGAGTCTGGCTGACCAACCGAAGTGAGGACATGTTCAAGGAAAATTTCACAGATACACTCCAGACGTTCCAAAAAGTCATGCGAGAATGGTCGTACCCCCACATCTCATGGTTAGGGAGAGTTCAGGTAATAAAAATGAACTTCCTTCCACGCCTCCTATACCTCCTCCAAGCTATCCCCATCGAGATCCCGGGCCCTTTTGTTAGTACCCTTAGAACAGAAATGACCAGATACGTATGGAACGGAAGGAGACCTAGAGTGAAATTCTCCACCCTGACACGACCTAAGGATAAAGGAGGATTAGCCCTCCCAGACTTCCACCTATATTATGTGGCCACACACCTCCAGAGAATTGTGGAGTGGTCAAAAGACAGCGTGCACAAACTCTGGAAGACGGTGGAAGAGACTGAGGCAGGCAGAACACTCTCGGGACTACCCTGGGGCCGAGAAACGGCAAAATGGGGCGAAATGTCCATCTACACAAAACACACCATGAAAGTATGGAGGAGGACAACGAGGAAGGGGACCATGTCACCATACCCCTCCCCCCTCCTACTGACGCACAACGTCGACTTTCCCCCGGGACTAGACCCAAGAGCCTTTAAAGACATCCTCACAGACCCACACCCACGCCTACACCATGTCCTGCAGGGAGGGAAATGTAAAAAACTGACAGACATGACGACAGAGACGCACCCAACCTTCATGCAGCACTTCAGATATACCAAGCTAACCAACTTCGTCCATACCTTACCACAGGGCTCAGCGCTCACTAGACAACATACCACACTGGAAGTGGTCTGTATGCACCCAGACCCGCTCCCACATGGAGTATCTTTCCTTTACACCATGCTACAAACGGACATCCCGACCGAGACACCCCTATTTATGAGGAAATGGGAGGAAGCCCTCGGATACACGCTGACAAATAAGGAATGGGAGTCCATATGTTACCTCGCACACCACTGCTCCATGCACAGCAAAACACAAGAGACAGCCTACAAACTACTGACACAATGGTACAGGACACCTCACTTCCTTCACCAGATAGACCCAGATCAACCCGGCCTATGCTGGAGATGCCAACAAGAGGAGGGTAGTATAACACATATGGTGGGAATGCGCAAAGATCAAACCATACTGGCAAAACATCCACAAAATGCTAGAGAAATTTACGGACAAACCACCCCCCCTGGAACTGGCAGCAATGCTCCTGCACCACACCTCTACTCCTCATTCCAAATACAAAAAATTTATGACCATTCGAATACTCAATGTAGCCAAACGAGTGCTCCCCCAATTCTGGAAACAGGCCATAACACCTCCACTTAAGACCTGGTTTAGCCAAATGGAGGAACTGAGGACAATAGAGGAACTGACCCTGATGACTAACACTATCCCGACAACCTACATGGACATATGGACACATTGGATCCTAGAGACGGCGAAGGAAGGATTCCAAAGGGAACTAGATCTGGCAAATGCCACACCACAGACAGGAAGGACTTAGGGATCACACACTTGACGACAGACGACTGACTACCCTAACACCCCTCCCCACCCCAACCCTAACTTTCCCCCCCCCTCCAGAGGAACGCCAAGGGACAATAACCCCAATCCGAATAGACACACACGCCAATAAGAGGACACATAGAGACTTGAACGTAAAACTCACAAGGACTCAGGTCATTATCCCGACCGGCAAGTTGGACGAGAGGCCGGCGAGCCTCTGTATAGCCCACACACAAACTACAATTGCAGTAAATGTAATGTATAACATATAAACACATGACCCGCACACTAGGCCAAGCCGTAATAGGAACTGTAATTGAGAAATGCTCGTAAAATAAGATAAAAGGGACTTGCAAGTGCGTCAACATTGTGGGCCTGCGAGCCCGACTAAAAATTACTGTTTTCATATCTTTCATATGCTTTCTTACCTTTTGATAACTCACCTTGGAGACCTGCAAGTCTTTGAATCTTGACTAACCAATACAAATAAAAATTATATTCACAAAAAAAAAGATTCTACACTAGAGCTTTATGTCCAAACTATCAGGGTTAGTTGCTAAAATGATAATTCAAAGTGGATTTCAAATTTAGGACCACAGTAGCCAAAATGAAAGCATAGCTGACTTAGCTGAGAAGTTTTCCAATTTTGCTATTTTGACCTTAAAGGGAAACTCAGGGCCAATACAATAAATGCCATATATTTTAGCCTTGTTAATATGCTGTATTTTTTTATTTATTTTTTCGCATGCTCATCTTTATAGTTTTTGCACAAAATGTTTTGCATAATACTGCACCATTAGCTTTCCTCCTTAGCCATGTCAGAAAGACTATGGTATGCACAATGTCTCAGCCCCAATTCTTTATTATTGCGTGCGGAATTAAACAGATATATAGGCATTGACATTTAAACAAGTGTACATGCGATAATACAAAGTTATGATTGTGTTGGAAAATGTCAATGGGACAGACCATTTTTACGTTATAAGGTACATGACGTCTTGTAAATGACAAGACATGAGTCAAGATAGGAATCAAGAAGTGTTGACTAAACATGAACTGACCTCCTGTTAGAAAATACCTGCTGTTAAGACACCCCTGGTGCCCTTAAGAGAAACCGCCGTTTAGTTAACCTTCCCCTTTCGCAATATCAGTAACTCCGTTCGCATATGCTACAGTATACGAACCAGCATCAGGGGAAGCGGTAATCTCCCGACCGGGATCCGTGAAAGGCTCCAAACTCCCGAACAGAAATCCACGAACCGCCGCTAACCGCCGAACAACGATATCCACCAAGCGGCTTTCGGTTCCAATAATCAGTCTCTAGGCATAAATAATAAATCCCCCCAATAACGAGACAGAAGCTCCGCATTGAGGATCTGGCTTTACTGTGGGCTACCTGCCCGTATTTATGCAGGTCTCCCACTTGGTGGACACTCCCCTAGGGGACCAAATGGGAGACTGTAATGACAGATAGACTTGGGGACATTTCTGACATACAGATGTAAACTTTTCCCACAATGCAGTATGGTTTCCTCCCCTCTGCCCTGGAGATAATTGAGAAGTAATTCAATTATCTCCAGGACAAAGACAAATCGCCATCTTAAATAAAATGCCAGAAATACATAAAAATATATAACTTCACAACTACCGAACATTTCACATTCGTATCACACATCCCCAGATAGCCTGGATCTGAGGGCATATTATTAGCGAATAGCGCTCAGATCCCACACACATAGTTCAATCGCCATGGAGTCAAAGTCCTTACAGTCTTTCGGTATGCGATTGACTCCATGGGATGGCTATCTGGGTAAAGTCTTTTTGTGTGATGTAAAACTCCCGAACAGCTGGTGTTCATATGCTTTCGTCGGGGCAGCCAGGCGACCCGTTGATTCAGCGGTGTTCGTCAGAAAAAGTGTCCATTTTAGTTCCATGAAATCAGTGCTGAACACCGCTGGTCTTTCGTGTGTTTTAAAATGGCCGCTGCCTCGTGGTCGTCATACGAACGACGGCCACCCGGATTTCGGTTTAATTGAGACGTGTCTGCGGTTAACCACAACGTTCTAATTGGGATCAAGATGCTAACCAGCAGCACACTTCTATCCTGGGTGGCCATCCGTTCGGCAGATTTGTTCGGTAAAAAAGAGTCATTCGTATGGCTGGGCTATAGAAACAGCCATTTACACGAATGGGCAGAAATAGACGAATCCACCACAACAGACAGACAGATGGTTCTGTCACACGGCTCCCTCCTTGTGGGACACTCCGGCAGACCCGGCTTGACCCTTTGGCGGGTCAACTTGGGGATGACCGGACTAGGAGGTGGTGGAGATGTCAGTTTGTCGGGATAACCCATCTGCATTTCCGTTCTGCTTACCGGGTCGGTAGCTGATGGTGAAATTGTAGGGCTGTAGTGCCAAGCTCCACCTCAGCAGTCTACCATTGTCCCCTAAGACCCGGTTAAGCCAGACGAGTGGGTTATGGTCAGTCACAAGGGAAAACTCTTGCCCGTATCAGTAGGGACTTAACTTCTTCAATGCCCAGACCAAGGCCAAACACTCCTTCTCCACTGCCGCCTAACTCACTTCTCTGGGTAACAACTTTCGGCTGAGATATGCGACAGGGTGCTCTCCTCCATCTTTCCCGACTTGGCTCAGCACAGCCCCCAGTCCATACATGGAAGCATCTGTGTGAACGAGAAAGTGTTTGTTAGGGACTGGGGCAGCCAAGACAGGGGCATTCACAAGAGCCTGTTTCAGTGCCTGGAACTCAGCTTCACAAGCCAAAGACCACAGAACCTGCTTAGGCAAGTTCTTCTTCGTCAGGTCTGTCAGGGGCTTAGCAATAGTGCTATAGGCAGGGACAAAACGAATTCCTTCTTGGACTGCTTCAGGGATACGATATGGCGGCTGTCGTAAGGGGGTCTGTCCAGGGGTCTCGACCTTATGTACAGCTAGGGTAGTATAACCGGGCTCCTGGGAGAACATCGCCTGCTTCTCCCATAACAACTGCTTCGCCTGTACCCTTTCTGTGGGGTTTAATCTGTCCCCTAGCTGTACAAGGGTAGTGAGGTCAGTCTGGGGGTCCCTTTCTAACAAATCGGGGAGAGGTAATTTCTCAGGATCATCTGCAGCCGGGGCACATACTGCCGCAATATTCTCATGTCACTCCTGGTACTCCTTCAGCATGTTCACATGAAAGGATCTCTGAACCCTTTCATCTGTACGGCTGGCTATCAAGTAAGTAGTATCGCAGATCTGCGCTACTACCCGGTACGGGCCCTGCCAAGATGCTTGCATCTTGTTTGCCTTCACAGGTTTGAGCACTAATACCTTCTGCCCAACCTGGAAGACCCACTGTCGGGCACCCTGATCGTACCATCTCTACTGTCTCCCCTGGGCCGCCTGGAGATTCTCCCTTACCATCAGGGACAGTTTCTCCATGTGTTCCCGGAGTTCCAGGACATATGGCACTATGGGGGTCCCCTCCTGCTCTGTCTCCCCCTCCCAGTGGCCCCAGATGAGATCTAGGGGTCCGCGGACCATACAGCAACTCAAAGGGGGAGAACCCAGTAGATTCCTGGGGCACCTCTCTGAAAAAAACAACAGATGAGGCAGGAACCTCTCCCAGTCTCTGCAAGTATCTGTAAAGGTCCTCAGAATCTGCTTGAGGGTACCGTTAAAGCGCTCGCAGAGACCGTTAGTCTGTGGATGGTAGGGTGAGCTACGCAACGCTTTAATGCCACACACCTTCCACAGCTGCTGAGTGAGCGCAGCGGTGAATTGGGTTCCCTGGTCGGAGAGGATCTCCTTAGGGAACCCGACCCTAGTAAAAATTCTAACCAGGGCATCAGCAACCGTCTCTGCCTCTATATTAGACAGCGCTACTGCCTCTGGATAGCGAGTGGCATAGTCCACCACAGTAAGAATATTTCTTACCGGAGGGACTAGCCCTGGCCAGTGGACCCACAATGTCAACAGCTATGCGGGAAAAGGGCTCCCCTTTAATAGGCATCGATAATAACCTAGCCTTAGGGTGGTCCCCCCGCTTTCCTACCCGTTGACATGTGTCGCACGTACTGCAATACATCCGCAGAGCCTGGTTAAAGTTGGGCCAAAAGAAATTCTGTGAGATCCTATAGGCTATGCGGCGGGACCCTAGATGTCCAGCTAACGGAACATCATGCCCTATCCGCAGAATCTCCTGCCGGTACTTTGCAGGTACCACTAGCTGTCGATTCGGCGGAGGGGCTACACTCTTCTGGGAAGGCTTTGGGATACTATATAACCTGTCCCCCACCCACTCATACCGCTCCCCATCTATTCCTTCCTCTCCAGCCTCTGCTCTATCTCGGTACTTCTGGAGGGTCGGATCTGCCCGGGTTTCCCTCCCAAACTCTGGGGAATCCCAGCTTAAGGGGGCCTGATCTAGGGTACCAGTCGGGGAAGAGGGTCTTACCTGGGTCTCATCAGCAGGTGGGCCGGTTCCAGAAGCACGGGTCTGAGCATGAGTCACAGGGTTGACGTCAGCAGGGCCCATCGGGGCATAAGCTGAAACCAAAGTGGCCAAATCGTTCCCAAGAAGAACATCAGCGGGCAAGTCTTTCATAACACCCACATCCACGTGTCTAGCACCCACTCCCCAATCCAAATGGACCCGGGCAACAGGTAAGCGAAACACGGAGCCTCCTGCTACCCTCACTGCCACAGTGTCTCCAGTGTGCTGGTGCTCCGAGACTAGGTTCTTTTGGAGCAGTGTCATAGTGGCTCCTGTGTCTCTCAGTCCATTCACCACTCTGCCATTCAGCTTCACAGTCTGCCGGTGTTGCTGGCGATTGTCCTGATGCGCTGCTTGCACTGGGTCGGCCTCGTGTAGAATGCCCCAGAATTCCTCCTGCTTGATACAGTGAGCAGCACGCTGAGGGGGCCGTTGATTCCCGCTGGCTGGATTCCTCCAGGACTGGGCTTGATAAGCGCCGTTCAGTGGGCACTCGGGTCGCTTGTGCCCCAACTGTTTGCACCCAAAGCACCTGATGGGCTGTGAATAATCCCGGGCATTGAACCGGGAGGGTTGCGGGTAAATGTTTGCTGGCGGTACTGCTGGAGTGCGGTGTACTGGGGGTTGGTATGCTGTTGGTGCTGGGGTCGCTGTCGGTCGGTACTCCATCCTGGCAGGAACCTTGGTAGCTGTACTGTTCAATTTGCGGGCGTCCGTATATTCGTCTGCCAGACGGGCAGCCTCGGGTAGGGTAGAGGGTTTCCTATCTCTGACCCACTCCCTGACCCCGGCAGGTAGTCTGTCGAAGCAGTGTTCCAGCAAGAACACCTGCAGCACTTCTTCCCCAGTTACTGCTTGGCATCCTGCCATCCAGTGGACTGCGGTACGGTGGACCCTGCAGGCCCACTCTACATAGGAGTCACCAACCTGCTTGTTAGTCTCCCTAAATCGTTGTCTGTACGCTTCTGGGGTCACCGCATA